CGGCGCGCGCTGCGGGCAGTGAGTGTGGAGGCGCGAACGCTCGGCGGAGCTCGAGCTGCTGCAGCTTCTGCCGCCGCGAGAGGAGCCTTGATCCCCGCGCACCGGACACCCCGGGCCTCGCCATGGTGAGTGAGGCTGAGGGGCCGCTGGGGTGAGGGGCCTCTGAGGCGGACAGGACTCCCGAGAGGGCGACTGGACCCGGAATGGGAGGCGTTTGGGCCCCACGAGCCTCGGCAACCCCCCGCGAAAGGGGCCGTTTGAGTCCTGAATGGACGCTCTGCACCCCTGTCAGGGCATTTGAACGCAGAGCGGGACGTCTTGATCCCAAAAGGAGGGCTTTGAGGGACTTTGAGCGCAAAAAGGGGTGTCTGGACCCCCAAATGGGCATCTGGGCCCTCAAAGGGGGCATTTGAGCCTAGGGGAATATCTGAACCCCCAAAAGGGCTTTTGAGCCCAGAATGGGACGTTTGGGCTTTGAGGTAGGGTATTCAGACCCCGGGGGGCAAGATAAGAAACATTGGGTGGGGAGGGGCGGCCACCCCACTTTTGGGGGGCAAAGGAAGGGATGAGGGGTCACTTCTGCCGATTAGATCCTTGAGGGTGGAGGGAGGGAGTTCTCCAAAGACCAGCACAGCAGAGGAGGAGGAGGGTGAGGCACAAGCTTTTGAGAAGGAAGAGCCTGGGGTGGGTGGCACCAGAAGGTCTAGAAGATGCTTTGGGAGCTCTCAAAGCCTGTGGAGCTGGGAAGGATCAGGGCTGTGGAGGCTGGTGGTTGCCAGCAGTAGGGGGACAGGGGACCCTACAATTGATTTTTGGGGGGCAGCTGGAGAAGGTTCTGAAGTTTCTAGTGGGTTCAGGCTGTTGCACCAGGGAGTTTTTTGGGTTTTTTTGGAGGGGGGGAGCAGTGTTGTGTGGGTCCATGAGGAGGTGGTTTCCAAGGTGAGGGCCGGGGAGCACTTTGCTGGAGCGGTGGGAGGTGAGGTTGGAGGGGGTTGGGGGGAGTTGGAAGGGGAAGAGGAGAAAAATGAATGGAAGCCAAGGTGGGCCTAGGTTTGGAGGTGGATGTGAGTAGCTCCTTGGAAGTCTGCAGGAAAGACTGGGACAAAGACTGTTCAGTCTGGGTGGGGAGTGGGCTGCAGAGACCCAAAGGAGTGGCTGTACAGTCCCCCTCCCCACATCTCCCCCAGGAGGAAAAGGGTTGGGCTGGAGGCACCCAGGCAGTGGGAGCAGGTGGGCGGAGCTGTTCAGGCCCCTATTGCGCACTGAAGCCGCATGAAATACAGGGTGGGGGATCAAAGTTTGGGGTGCATCAGCTGAGCTAGCTTTTTGAAGACTAGGAACCTCACCCCTCGCTGCCCCTTCCAGGCTCAGAACGCTGCCTTTTCCAAACAGGAGTGCTGGGTTTCTCATGATCTCTAGCTCCACGCACCATTCTGCATCTTCTTGCTTGTGCCAAATGACAGTGCATTGCAGTGTGGCGTCGGTGACAATCGGACGCCTGTTCCCCGTGCCCTCAGAGTGGGAGCTGCCAAGCTGAGCCCAAGAGGACCTCCTGAGGGACCCCGTCATTGGCCCAAGGGCCACTTGTTCTGTTAGGGGAGCCCCTCACTGAGCGCTTCTGTTGATTCGTGCAGCTAGGGCTTTGAGAGAAAGCCAGGAGACTAGTTCTTTCCTACTCCCTGCCACCCACAGCCCCCCCCAGGCTCAGCCTTCGAACCATGCACAGCCATCCTCCCTGGCAAGGCTGGGGAGAACAGGCAGCCGCTGCTGTGTATCAGATCTCAGACTTGCTGACACAGACCTGATGGCTCCTCTTGCCGCTGCCCCATTTCCCCAGCAGAACTGTGCTAAAGGGGCCCTGAGCGCTCAGAGGCACCACGAGGCCCCCCACCTCCAAAACAGGACCCGAGTTTGGGCCCTGACTAGTTTTTCTTTCCATTTGTAATCAGCAAGGTATGGGTGGGACAGGTCACTGTTAACTGGCCTTGGACTTTGGCCTGTGCTCTGTGGCTCCTCCTTGGCCCAGGTGAGGGGCCCTGGCCTTAGTTAGTTTCTGATCTCATCTAACACTGCACTCTGGCAGTGGCTGGGGGCTGGGGCATGGCAGAGAAATCATACCCTCTTCCCTCTCCCATCCCAAGATTTTTTTCCTTCTCCAGCCCTTTGTCAGAGCCTAAGAGGAGGGATAAGGAAGCAGGAGCCCAGCTGAGTTATTTTGGACGCAGTTTTTTGGTGAAAGCTTAGTCTTCAGGTCTGACAAGGGAAGAACCCTTGAGAAGGGGTCCCCAGTGATGGCAGCTTATCAGGTCATCTGAGTTTTCTGGGCAGCAGCCAGGCCTGGAGGTCTGGGGCCCGGAGCTGGGACCTTTCCTGTACCAAGCAGGAGACGAGGGTCTCTTGAATGGGAGGCAGCTCTGACAGGCTCCACACGCAGAGCCACGCCTATTTGCAGCAGCCCTGGACCCGAACATGGCAGTGTATCTCCTGCATCTGCCAGCCCTTCTGCAGGGAAGGGCAGATCCTGGCCTGCAGAGTCACTCAGGGTGTTCAACAAACTGTCACAGCCTCCTCGCCCCCTGCCTCAGCCCTCTCCAGTGCTGCCTGAAGATGGGGGAGAACTAGGCCCCCTCTTCGTGATGCAGAGGAGTGGAAGGAGCCCTGACTGGGCTAGCTCTTTCCATTTGGGGCCAGGGGAGAACAGAAAGCAGATAGAATGGCAGCCCTTTTCCCTGACTGCCACTTTCGTCTCTGTTCTTCCGCTTCCCCTGCCCTGCTGTTGCCCGGCCTTGGTAACCAGGAGCCCAGTCTCTTCTCACTCTCCCCAAGCAGCTTCCTTGGGTGTCAGGACCTCGGGGAGCAGCCCAGGCTTCCTTGCACATACGAGCCAGGGAACCGATGGACAAGAGGCTCCCTCCTAGGCTGAGGAGCCCAGCCACCTGGGTCTTTTTGAAGGCAATGCAGAGAAGTCTCCATTTGGCCTCTTAATCTTCCCATTAGACTTTAGACTTTTCCAGAATGTGTATCTGTGGCGTTTTTCCTTTCCTACCTTCCTCCTTCCCCCTCCCTCAGCCATCTCCTCTCTGTCATCATCACTTCGATGTCCCCTCCCAGTTTGCCTGTTTGGAGCTTGGTCCAAGTTCCTCTTCCCTTTGGGAATAAAATGAGACACACAAAACCAGCGGTTCTTAATATTTGGGACAGGAGTGGGTTGGGGGGTTGTTGCTAGCCTCCATTGGAAGCGCTGGAACCTCTATTAAGATTAATGCAGATACACACAATAGTTTCCATCCGTTCCTGGAACTCTGCGACTCAAGGCTAGAGCCCTACTGCAGACTTTGGAGCACCATTCCCCTAACCGGAAAGGGGGGCAGTATCTGAACCCACAGTGTTCCAAGGGGTGGTACCTTCTTAGCAGCATTCACAAAAACCAAGGAAAATTCTTCTCCTAGCTGCCAAAAGCTAAATGTTGGGATTCAGCCCAACACCAGGATCTCGCTGCTTCATAAGGATGCCTCTCCCAGGCTGGTTCCCATCACACCAGTGCAGGGAAGCTGGTCTCTGCCTCCCTTCTACCCCACCCCCAAGCCCACCTGCAGCAAAGACTGCTGCCACAGGCTGGCCCAGGCCCCAGAGTGGCCAGGACTAGAAAGGGTTAAACACTGCAGCATGCTGGGGACGCAGACTTCAGTCCTACAGCTTTTGCCTCCGCGGCTGCTGCCTGCTGCAGTCCGCTTCCCGACATTTGTCCCTCCTGCCCCAAGAAACCGAACAGAAGGGTGTCCTGTGCCTAACCGTGTGCAGAGGCTGGGTGGAGCAGTCTGACCAGGCTTCGCTCAGGCCCTCAGAGCAGCTCAGAGAATTTGTGCCCAGTGTGGATCTACCCTGCCTGGGCCTCATGCCTCCAGATAGGTGACACAGATGCTAGCAAAGATAGCCCTAGCCATCTTGCCGCTGCCTTACCCAAGGACTGGCCTGTTTCAGTTTGGAGCTTTCTAGAGCTGCTTGATTAGGCCTCTAGGGCAACTGCTCCCTTCGCTCAGCCTCTGGGGCTCCCCACTGCAGCGTTAACACCGAGATGGGAGATGGGAGCCTGGGCCAGGCCCTGCCAGTGGAGCTCTGGGCCCCCAGAGCACTGGGTGGAGATTGGAAGTCTGGGTCTGGGCAACTTCATCAGGCCTTGAGTCAGGCAGCCCTGGGTTTCCAGCCCACCCTAGTCCCCAGCTTCCTGAATAACCAGACTCTGTCCCAGGCCCTGAGACCCTGCCCTCTGGCATGTGAAAGGCTGCCATGTGGAGCTGGCCTCCCCCGGAGTGGGCTGGGCTGAGCAAGGAAGACACATTAGTGATGGCCAGTTGGCCCCGTGACTAACATTCTCTTTACTGCTCTTCCAGGCTGACCAGCTGACTGAGGAGCAGATCGCAGGTGAGCTCACCCACCCCATGCCCCTTCACCCTGCCTCAGAAAGGCCTCTGCAGCCCAGCCCACCTTTGTCCCCAGGAGTACCATCTGATAGACACACCTGTGTGCCCCTGTACCACCTGATGCCATGCCTTGTGCTCAGAGTGTTGATACATGTTTAGAAAAGTACACCAGTGCCCAGTAACCCCAAACCATGTGGTCCTGAGGTGGGCCTGCACCTAACAACAGAGGCCGTATTCTCTCCTGGCCGTGGCTTGTCTATGGTCTCAGAGATCAATGGCTGCAGGATGAGCCCAGCTCTCTGTCCCCTGCCTCCCTGCGGAGCTGCAGGGCCCCGACCCATGTTGGGAGCCGCCCAGGAGCTGTCTGGTCACCCCCACCTCTGCACTGCCCTGCACTTTTTCCTTTGCGTGGCAGCTCCTACTTGTCCTTAGGTCTCAGTTCCAGTGGCACCTCAGCAAGGCCCTACCTGACCCCTCTTCTCAAGTGGCAGCCTCCCTCTACTCTCCATCACGTCCCTCTGCTTATTTCCTTCATAGCATTTCTTGCTCTTCAAAAGGATTTTATGATGACCATACTTCTTGCATCTGCTGTCACTAGATGTGAGTTCCTTGAGTTTGGGACTTGGTTGGGACGGTCCCTGCTGTATCTCCAGTGCCTGGAACATAGTTGTGTGCTCATAAAGTTTTGTTGACTGAACAAATGAATAAAGGAACCATCGTATATTTCCCACGAAGCTACAGAAATCCTTGGATCACCCATCAAATTCATTTTTGTTGCCCTGAAACCCTGGAAAGATCCCAGCTGCAGGAACTATTGTATGATTGAGAGAGTGTGTGTCTCTGTGTCCCCCTCTCCCCAGGCTGAGCTGTCTGAGGACAGAGACCAACTCTTATCTCCACAGCCACAAGCCAGCACAGGGTGGATAAGGGAGAAAGATGGAGAGAATGGGCCCTGGCCCCCACAGTTGCCCACACCCCCAGCTTTGCTGTCAGGCTAGGTGGGCAACATGCTCAGTATTAAACAGCCTGGCTTCTGAGGGGAAAGAGGCAGGAATGGACTTGCCTTCTCGCCTTTGTTTGCCCGCTGTCCAAACGCACACACAGTCACGCTCTGCTTCTAGGCTTCGGTCCCAGGCGGCCACGGAGACCCACCAAGGAAAGCCAGAGGGCTGCCTTGTTTCAAGACCATGAGCTCAGGGTGCCCGTGTGACCCACTCCCTGCCCGCTGAGAGCAACAAGGCCTCTGCATAGGGACAGCATCCCCAAGGAAACTCTCCCCATTTCCCCAGGGCCCAACGGCTAGGGGGTCACAGCTGGCCCGCTGTGTTTGTCACTCACATCCCACCTGCCACCCACACCCCAGCTCTGCCCTTGTGTAACACAAACACACATGCACCCTTTTCACCCTGTCCCCATTAGCAAAGTGTCCACTGCCTCACCACAACCCACACCCTCTGGGAACAGGCTGCCAGGCATCAGTTCTCTGAGGGCTTGGGGGTAGGAGAGCACCAGGTGCCAAAAGGAGCCCAGTGGGAGGGCAGGAGCCACGTGCCTCTCTCCCTGCTCAGCAAACAGCATCTCCCGTGCCTGATGCGTCCCCAGCTGCGGCCTGCCCACTCGGCACTACCAGCTCCTCATCCCCCTGGCTTGGCAGCCATCCCCTCTCCACTTCCCCGCACCCCCCCACCCCACGCACCGTCCGTCAGCCATGATCTGCTGCTGACCACCCCCACACTGCACCACATAGCCGCTCGGCTCCTCCTCTGGAAGCCGGCAGCATCCATGGCAAGGTTCAGGCTGGCGGAACCAGTCAGGGATCCCAGGCCCGCGTGTCCTCTTCAGGCAGTCCACAGTTCTGCCTTGTCTTCCCTGCTGGTCGACCTTGTGCTCAGAGTATTGGTAGCTGTTTAGAGGAGCACAGCAGTAACCCCAAACTGTATGGTCCTGTGGTGGGCCTGCACCTGAAGGCAGAGGCGCCAAAAGCTCAGTGTTAGGATTCAGCCCAACATTGGGATCTTGCCTCTCCATAAGGATGCCTCTCCCTGGCTGGTTCCCAGCACAGCAGCGCAGGGAAGGCTGTTGTCTGCTGCTCCTGTACCGCATGAGAACTCTCCTAGGCCTCAGCCACCCCATGACCACCATTTGAGGGAACGAGGCCCAAAAGGAAATTAGGATTCTCTGAGGACAGCCGTCAGCCCGTCTCCCCCTCTGCCTTCACTGAGCTAGCTTGTTCACTAAATATGGAATGAAAGAAGGAAGGATTCTGCCTGCACGCCGAGGAGAGTGGGCTGGAACCGAGGTCTTTCAGAGGTGCTTCCGGTGGGGCTGACTCCCTTGACTTCCTGCAGGGAGAGTCCTATGTCCGGAGGCCAGGGTTTCCCTGTGGCCTCCTGAACCCTGATCCAGTCCCCTTCTTCACCCAGAGTTCAAGGAAGCCTTCTCCCTCTTTGACAAGGACGGAGATGGCACTATCACCACCAAGGAGTTAGGGACAGTGATGAGATCCCTGGGACAGAACCCCACTGAAGCCGAGCTGCAGGACATGATCAACGAGGTGGATGCAGATGGTGAGCCCCCACAGAGCGGGTGGGCAGCCCCTACCCGGTGACCCCAGGGAGCCTTCCTCAGGGTGCTGGGCGAACCAGTATGTCTTCCCCCAGGACCCAGGCCAAGAGCATTGCCTCCTCCCTCCCCCACCTTCCAGGGAATGGGACCATTGACTTCCCGGAGTTCCTGACCATGATGGCCAGAAAGATGAAGGACACAGACAGTGAGGAAGAGATCCGAGAGGCCTTCCGTGTCTTTGACAAGGTAAGCAGCCCTGGGGACTGATGCCAGCCTTCAGGCAGAGAGGCCAAGCAGGTGGGACCGCAGGACACCCAGTACAACGGAGCCACCGAGCCACCGCCTTCGGGGGGCCTGGGCCCTGATGCCATCCCCACTGCCAACTTGCTCCTCAACTTCCAGAAGCCCCCTGGGGACTTCACGCTCTTCTCCTGCTTGGGAGGGTGACCGACAACCCCTGCCCTGTGGCTTCTTCCCACGGGGCAAAGACCGCAGGGAGCTCTCGGGGCTCAGAGCTTTGGCCCCCCACACCCAGGATGGAAACGGCTACATCAGCGCCGCTGAGCTACGCCACGTAATGACGAACCTTGGCGAGAAGCTGACTGATGAGGAGGTGGATGAGATGATCAGAGAGGCTGACATTGACGGAGACGGCCAGGTCAATTATGAAGGTGAGTCAGTGCTGGCGGTCACGGGGCCAAGCCTGAGGATCACGGCTTCCAGAACCAGCCCCCAGTACCTCAGGTCAGGGAGGACTGCCTGTGGCTCGGGCTGCTCGCTGGGTGACTCCCTCTCCCTATTTCACTCCACAGAGTTTGTACAGATGATGACCGCAAAGTGAAGGCCCGGGCAGCTGGCGATGCCCGTTCTCTTGATTCTCTCTTCTCGCGCGCGCACTCTTTCTTCAACACTCCCCCTGCGTACCCTGGTTCTAGCAAATACCAACTGATTGACTGAGAATCTGATAAAGCAACAAAAGATTTGTCCCAAGCTGCATGATTGCTCTTTCTCCTCCCCCCTCGAGTCCCCTTCCACACTCCCTCCCCCTCATCTCTTCCTTTTGCGCTCCCCCCTCCCCTCCCATCTCCCAAGGCCTGACACATTCATGAGATGAACCCCCCCCACCCCCCAGTTCCCTCAGGGGAGCCTCTGCCTCCTCCTCCAGCCCGGGGGGGCTCTCCTCCCTTTTTGTCTGTTTCCTTTCATTTGTCATCTTATTTTGGGTGCTGGGGCGGCTGCCAGCCCTGTCCTGGGACCTGCTAGGGAGGGACACGGCCCTTGCCCAGGCAGAAGAGCATGCCCTCTGCTATTGCATGCCCCGCCAGCCTGTGAATCCGTATGCAAAGCCCAGCAACCTTGTGGGCCAGGGGTACCGGGAGAGGCCTTCCAGGAGGACGGAGTAGGGACCGAGGAATCGTGGTGTTGGTTGGATTTGGCCCAGAAGGGGGCCACAGGGCCAGGGAGTCTCGGAAGCTGGCATTCTCTTACCACTTGAGGGGCCGACTCATAGTGGGGGGACAGGGTGGACAACACTCAGACCCCATTGGCTGCACTTCTGAAACCACCGGTGATTGGCTTTCTGCGGTGAGGCTTGGGGGCGGGGAGCTGCTCAGCTGGCCACTCTGCAAAGCGTCCATGCCCACGTTCCTAAAGTGATCTCTAGCTCTTCTGTAAATACCTGGTGCTAACATCCCATGCCACTCCCTGCTCGTGCTGCACCCCCACCCGCCCACCCGGCATTATGGTCCCATCATCGGAAGGGGTGTGGGGCTGGTCGCTTTGTAATGTGCTGGCTGGCCTTTTCTTCCTCCCTTTTTATGCCCCTTACACTTTTTAATTTTGCCCAAAACCATGCCGGGCTAGCTGAAGGGTGGGGAGAGAGAGGGTGAGCCCCACCATGCCCTCAAGAGAACGTACCTGCAATAAAAACAGTCTTGCCGGCTCGCAGCCCAGAGGACATTTTGTCGGGGCAGCCTCTGCTCCCTGGTCAGCCAGCACCTCCCGCTTCAAGTGACGACTTGACAGCTTCGTCACACCATGCTATCTCTTATGCCCTCCTCGCCCCAGCACACCTGCCTGCCCCCACGCCCCCCGGCGTAGAGCATGATCCGTGACCTGGCTTCTGCCTCTTTCCTCTGGGACAAGTCAGTCAGTGTGCAGTTCAGCCGTCTGGGCTTTTTTACTTCTTTTCCTTCTTCTGTTCATTCCATCTGCCCCCCGCCCCGACCCCCACTGCCCAGGTCAATCAAGTGGCTTTTCCTGGGACCTGCCCAGCTTTGAGAATCTTCTCATCCACCCTCCGGCACCCAGCCTCCAAGGGAGGGGAGGGATGGGCCATAGTGGGAGACCCAGCCAAGAGCTGAGGGCAAGGGCAGGTAGGTGTGAGGTTGTGGCTGTTTCCGGAGTGTTTTGGTTTTTCTCTTTTTGTTTTTTTTTAAACCGGGCAATATTGTGTTAAGTTCAAGCTGTGAAGAAAAATATATATCAATGTTTTCCAATAAAATACAGTGACTACCTGACTTGGCTCCACCCCTCTTGTCTCCTGGTCTGAGCCAGCTCCTTGTAGCTGGAGACTCTGCCCTGCTGGGAAAGAGCTTTTCCTCCACATCCTTGTCTGGCAGCAGCTTCCCACCTCTGAGGCCATTGAGGGCAGGATATTTCCAGTCAACTAGTGCTCACGGGGGCCAGGCATGAGGGAGGTGGGAGCGTGCAAGAGAGACCAGCCGCGCCCTCGTGGGGGCACTGCAACCACAGATACATGCAAGATGAGACGGGAGAGGCTCCGAGGGGCCTGGGGCCTGCAGCCCGCGGGGGAGGACTGGACCTAGTCAGGATGGCAGGATTGAGCCAAGAGCTGAAGGGTGGGTACTTACTGGGTGTGCCGGGGCAGGACAAGCATCCAGTCCAAGAGAACAGCACATGTAAGAGCCCTGGGGCAGTAGAGTGAGACTGGGAGAAGGAGGCAAGGGCAGACCCCGTGAGCCTCAGGAGAGCAGGTGATCCTGGGTGACTCAACAGGCTGCTTTGGAGAAGGGGGTGGCGTTCACTGGTTTGGTATCAGTTAACACGTGACCCATTGTCATCCAGTCGATTCCAACTCATAGCCACCCTATAGGACAGAGTAGAACTGCCCCATAGGGTCTCCTAGACTGTAATCTTTAGGGAAGCAGACTGCCACATCTTTCTCCCACGGGGAGGCTAGTGGGTTGGAACCGCCAACCTTTTGGTTAGCAGCCAAGAGCTTTAACCACTGTGCTACCAGGGCTTCTCAGGATCACTTAGGCAGCCTAAGTGTGCCAAGTTACTGGACACCCAGCGGTGAGAAAATGGGTATGGTTCTGAGCTCCCTTATGGCCAACTCCCAGAGATGCTGGAACGATTGGAGATTTGAAATAAAAAGCTCAAAGCATCTACAAACTACGGAACGTTCATTAACTTCCTGATGGTGAGTGGGGGCGTGGGGAAGGAAGCCCAGTGGTGCTGTCGTGGAGAAGTGTGTCAGCTTCCTGAGGGAGATTTTCCAAACTACAGGTGCCTTTCCCCTCCCCCCGCTACACATCTGATATGTCCCCCTTCAGGAGCACTGAGAAGGAAAGGTTAAACTCTGAAACTCTCACACAACCCCAGGGGCTGGTAACCAGTTGGCAGAGACGGAAGAATGCATGGAGTAAGAAAACTTCCTTCCATGCATCTTTGCCTGGCCCTGGGCTTGGAAGGATGGAGAAGCCTTGGGAAGCCTGGTGGGGCAGAGGTGCCATGGGGTGGGGCCAAAGCTCAGGGCCTTCCCTATGGCAGAGGTCAGGCCTCCTTTGATCTTTCTGGGGTGTATACCAGTCGTCGGGGCCCCCACTGTGGAGGGGGTGTTGTTGGGAGTGGCCAGCTATCTCTCCAGAACCCCAGCTTCGGTGCCCCTTTTATCTGCTGCCACCCTGCCCACAGCTGCGGTTTAGCATTTGGTGGTACGGTAAACACTACGGGAGCTCAGGCTCGACTGCCTGCCTTAGTACCCGGGCTCCAGCACCTACTACCCTTGTGGCCTTGGGTGGGTGACTTCACATCTCCACCTCAATATTCCTTTCTGTAAAATGGGGGTAATAATAGCCCTACTTCTGGGGCTGAGGTGAGGATTGGATGAGTCAGTGAGAAAAAGGCCTGATGTACAGGAAGTGCTCAGTAAGCATTAGCCAGCGTTTACTGGGTGCCTCCTACATAACCAGCCCCTGCGTGGTGCAAATAGTTAACACACTAGGTTGCTGACTGAAAGGGTGGAGGTTTGAGTCCACCCAGAGGCACCACAGAAGAAAGTCCTGGTGATCTACTTCCAAAAATTCAGCCATTGAAAACCCTCTGGAGCACAGTTGTACTCTGACACACTTGGAGTCACCATGAGTTGGAGTTGAATCAATGGCAAGTGGGTGGGTTTTGGTTTTCTACTTCCCAGGCTCTGCTCTGAGCTCAGCACCCGTGATCTCATTGAATCCTTAAAGGCATCTTTCAGGTTGGATGCTGTTATTCTCCACTTGGCAAACTAGGAAGCTGAGGCCCAGAGAAGTAAAGCCCCTACAGTCAGGTTATACAGTAGGAAGTGGCGGAGCTGAACTTAGAACCAGATCTGACCCCGAGGAGGCCATGTTCTCAGTCACTGGACTTTAGGGTTGTTACTGTCTTGTGCCGTCGAGTTGATTCCAACTCATGGAGACCCCGTGTGTGCAGACTGGAACTGCCCCATAGGGTTGTCAAGGCTGTGACCTTTCAGAAGCAGATCACCAGGACTTCCAAAGCACCTCTGGGTGGATTCAAACTGCCAGCCTTTCAGCCAGTAATTGAGTGCTTAACCATTTGCGCCATCCAGGGTCTCAGGGCTTTTAGAGTAAATGGTAGTTAAGAAAATAGTTCAGGCAGGCCAGAGCCAGCGGGGAGGCTGGGCCGAGGCGGGGGACCCCAGTGGTGGGATCTGAGATGGCAGCCACCCTCTCAGCAGCCAGGAGACCCATGGGAAACTGTGATCTCAAGAGTTGGGAGGAAGGCAGGCCTTGGTGTCCCACAGAACTGCGGTCATATCCCAGCTTGGGGCAAGGCTTTGCGGTCACTGAGCCTCAGTGCCCACTCCACCACTTCCTACCTGGTGACCTTGGAGTAGTGACTTCACTTCTCCAGGCCTCAGTTTGCCAGTCTGAAAAATGGGGACTGATAATACTCTGTAAGAGGAAGGTGATAAAAAACAGCCACCTAGGCAGGTTGTGCCAAGCATTTTATAGACATCATCTCATTTAATTATCACTAAGCCCGAATGAGTCCTGCTAAAACATAGCCCCTATTTATGGAGCGGAGTCCCTGGGTGGTACAAACGGTTAACACCCTCAGTTACTAACCGAAAGGCTGGAAGTTCAAGTCCACTCAGGTGCCTTGGAAGAAAGGCCTGGCAATCTACTTCCAAAAAATCAGCCATTGAACGCCCTCTGGAGCACGGTTCTACTCTGACACACATGCGGTATTTATGGAGTGTGTAGTCTGCCCCAGGAGGTGTATGATGTTCACGTGGGCATGAGCTAAGTCATGATCCCAACCTTCCAGAAAAGGAATGGAGGTTCTGGGTGGGAGAGCCTGCAGCATCACCCCACACTTCTTGGCAGCAGCTGAGCTGGCTCTCAAAGCCCCAGATCATTCTGCTCCCCAAAGCCCATGCTTTTAACCAACACAGCCACTGCCTGCGCAGCTCCACTGCCTATCGTTAACACTCCCCGTTGGGCCCTATGCTTTGAAAGACTTTCACTCCCAGACAGGCAGCGTTATTAAATAATCATGACTTCCCTTCCCCATTCTTTATTAATCAAAGATGAGCTTCTAATGGACGTGGGCAGGCGCTGAGGGGAGCCAACTCCAGCCCAAAGCAAAGAGGTGCTTGGGGCTTCTGAGCCCCTGGTGCCCCACGGGAACTGTGTGGCCCCACAGATTGGAAATCCTGTCCAGTGCAGGCTCACAGGTCTGCTGTTGTTGTTATTGTCTTAGGCCGTTGAGTTGATTCGAACTCATGGCGACCCCACGTGTTACAGAGTAGAACTGCCTTCCATGGGGTTTTCTTAGCTGTACTCTTTATGGAAAGGAACATTGGTGGCTCAACGGTTAAGTGCTTAGCTGCTAACTAGAAAGTTGGCCGTTTGAACTCACCCAGCAGTTCTGCGGCAGAAAAACCTGCCGATCTGCTTCCGTAAAGATTAGAGCCTAGAAAACCCTATGGGACAGTTCTACTCTTGGCATATGGGGTCGCTATGAGTCAGAATCGACTCGATGGCAAACAATCTTTATGGAAGCAGATCGCCAGGCCTTTTCTTCCATGGTGCTGCTGGGTGGGTTTGAGCCTCCAACCTTTCAGTTCTCAGCCAAGCACAAACAGTTTGCACCATTCAGGGACCTACAGGTCAGCTAAGCCGGCTCAGAACCTGGCCTGGGGAGAGACCAGACAGGAGAGCACAACAGGAGGTGCCCAGCCAGGGCCTGCACCTTAGCCTGGACCCCCTCCCCCCCACCCCCCGGAAACCTGGGTTCTGCTCGATTTCCTGAGGGCAGCCTAGTGCATTGGCTCTGGGGCGACTTCTAAATGTTATTCCCAGTGTGACCAGTAGGTGGAGCAATGACTACAGAAGGCCCCTGAGAGCTGCCATTCCTGGGGAGGAGCAATGATGTGTGTGTGTGT